TCCAGCTAAGAATGTGGAGATTATGAGCTGCCCTGTAAAAATGGGGTCTATCACCATAGAAGTCCATCTGCTAAAATAAGGCCACATACTGATGTTCTCCAGCTGGAGCTTTTCCAGTTCATGTGTGAAATCAGAGTTTTTCATTCTTTAAGTTTAGTCTCATTTCAAAGTTTAAGGTGTTGGCTGATCTGTTAATTTTACCTCATGTCTTACATCTCCTCATTCCTCCCTCCATCAAGTCTGTTGTTTTGTAATTGTCTCTTCTGTATATCTCCTCCCCCCCTCTAGATGACTTGGGGCTGGGATTACTCGGGCTCCTCTAACCTTGGAGAGCTGAAGCTGTTATTGGAGGAGTGTCTGATGCTGCGTCGCCTCAAGTCTGAAGTCCTCTCTCAGCTTCCCTCTAAACAACGCAAGGTGGTCACAGTGACTATAGATGGTGTCAGCACCCGCACCAAAGCTGCTCTGTCTGCTGCCGCCAAGCAGTTAGCCAACGGAAACAGCAATGTAAGTTCACATGATCTTTGAAAATATGAAAAAGTAACAAAATCACACACAAAAAAGGATTTGAACACTTCAAGGATATCAGTCTCTACAGGTATTATCATTTTAGGGATTGAGGCACAATTGAAACAGAAAAATTAAATTGAAAGATATAAACAACAAAGTTGCACAACTTTTTTTTGTACCCAGGTGGCAGTGATTACAATAAGATTTCAGAGCATGTTAGACAGATAAGTTAAAGTTTATATTTTTTAATTTCAATGTTGGCTGAAAAGGCGTATTTATTTTGATAAACTGGAAACAAGAATGTGTTAAGTTACTCCCAAACAACAGAGTTTAAAAAATAAATGATAGCTTTTTATCGTTTTTATTAATAATTTAAGACTTCATTTTGTTAGACTTAAAAATATTTTCGAGTTATATCACCTCTTCTTCCGATCCGTCCCTCAAATTACACATTCTCTTATTTCCTAAAGATAAAATACAACAGTATATTCTTTTTTGAATGGATTGTCTGTGATTAAAAAAGTCTTTTAGTTCAATAAGCATAAGGATCCTTTGTTTAACACGTGGAATTCAGATGATCGGCTGTTGGGGTCCTTTCAGGCTTCAAAAATGCTTTTAAGCTAACCCAGAGGACTCCAGTGAACCTTATTCTACTAGTTTTCATATCCTCAGATGGTAGTGAGCTGCTGAGCTTGATTGTTCATAATCACACTGCTCCTCCGAGTAGTGGCAGTCGCATCCAATCATCAAAAAGAATCTCTTGTCAGTTCTTATCTTGTACTGTTTCTTATCTCCTTTCTCAGAAAAGGGAAGAGAAGGAGGCCCTGCTCATCTTTTATAACCACACAGCTGAAGCCAAGCTACAAGCGATTATGTAAGTACAGACCCTCTAATGGTGGGGATCAGTACGTCAAATCAGATTAAATATGATGAGCACTGAGATTAAAATGCAAAATGAATCGGAGTCTTTTGTCAGAGCGTTGTGATTGCACTGGATTTGTGATAACTGGAAGCGTTGTGATAAATACTCATGTAAACTGAATATTTGACTCTTCCCTTTGAGAGATGTATTCTTTCTGTCACTACCAGGGAGTACATCACAGATATGATGGAGTGTGGGAGGGAGAAGTTTCTAGTGTTTGCCCATCATAAGTTAGTCCTGGATCATATCACCAGTGAACTTGGAAAAAAGGTAAGCCCATTAGCACACTGCGCAGAAGCCTGAGAGGAACTGAAATCTAATGTTGGCTTAAAAGAGTCGATTTGACTTTTTAAACTAGACTGGCTCTTGCGTGGGAGTTGAAGTCAACTCATAGGTCAAGTTTCATCGCTATCTAGGGAATAAGTGTGGGCAGTGCTGAGCACATTTCTGCTTAGAACTATTATGACTTATCATTTTTGTGGTTTAAAAGGAAGGGTCGTTAATTCAGTTAATTTGTTTTGGCCCACAACTAAAAGCCACTCTGAGTGTGAAGAGTTTGTGTTAAAGGATCATTTGGAGTTCTATAATGTTTATAAAAATGCTCACCATTCACAAGGTTTTAAAATTACTTCTTTAGAATGCCGCTTACATACGTATAGATGGGACCACTCCATCGGCTGAACGGCAGCAGCTCTGTGAGAAGTTCCAGGTCTCGACCAATAGCTGCATAGCTGTCCTGTCCATCACTGCAGCTAACATGGGTCTGACTCTGCACGCTGCTGACCTTGTGGTCTTTGCTGAGCTTTTTTGGAACCCTGGGGTAAGCCAGAGAAAGTCTTCACTACAAATTACTGCATACTCCGTGTGAGTACTTTTTTTTTAAAGAAACATCTTCACTAGTGCTTTGGACTTTAATTTTGTTTCAATCCAAATCTTTGTCTTTTATCCTCTGTCAGCTCACTTTTGGTTTTGTGGCTACTATTAACACTTTATTAGATACTCCTTTGTCCAACCATGTCGTCAGCTGTTCAGGAAAAACAGACTGAAACCTGTTGACTACAGACTACATGCTGACACCAAATGACAAACAGAGAAGAGAACAAAGTTGCCAGTGAAAAAAGTGAAACATGTAGCTGCTTAATAAACAAAACTTTATCTCAAAAGTCAAAAAGAAACTTGAAATACAAATGAGGAAAACATATCTCATGTGTTAACAATAACAGCTTTACAACCCACTACTGCAATTTATTTTCTTTCTCTCCTCATCAACACTGCACATCTGCCCTTTGTGATATATGAGAGAGAATGATTTATAAAGTATATTCCTGCTGGAGGCAGAGGAGACGACAAAAACGGATAAAAGCTGTTCTTGGTCATGTGCCTAAAATGTTGCAGATTTTATTTTACTTTTGGCAGCCTTTTTTCTTTAAGGAGTTAATCAGGGATATTTTCTTCATTTGACGACAGATCCTTAAAGCAAACATTCAACATTTACATGGAAAAAAGCATCCACCCAAACACATCAGAGGTGGCTTTTTACTCAACACTTCCACCCTCATGCCAACCCTGGTGTTAGCAGTGACAAAGATGTGACAAATATCACACTACAGTTTAAATAGGCTACTTTAATTTACAAGAAAAGGTCAGAAGTAATTCTGAGAACAGCTTACTTCTCTGTGAAAGCACCATTAAGAGCTCTGTACTTAACCTGTTCTCTTTCACATTAACCACAGCTTAAGCTCCAACAGTCATTTTATTGGTGCTTTCACTTTAACTCTGACAGCAAAATTATACATTTAAATGATAGATTATAATTATATTTATTTGTTTCTAAAGCAGCAGTCAACCTCCAGGGGTCACCACAGCTGAATACAGACAGAACACCTTTGATGATTTCATGAAAAATGTAATTGCTGATTTTGTTGTAATGCTTTCTTCTCATTGCAGGTTCTCATTCAGGCAGAGGATAGGGTGCATCGTATTGGACAAACCAGCAATGTGAACATTCACTACCTGGTTGCCAAGGGAACTGCTGATGATCACCTGTGGTATGTGTCAGTCAGTGGGCTGAATTACCTAATTCTGATTTTACCACACTGTAGCATTTGTCTTTTAACAATGAGCCAAAGCTGACTCTGTGAGGTCAAGTTAATGTTGTTTTTCCTGAAAGACATATTGTGACAAGTTGTGTATTTAATTGCTTCTGCTCCATTATAATACATTCACTATGTATTGATCCAGGCCAATGATCCAGGCCAAAATGAATGTCTTGAGCAGGTAGGCCTATCTGAGTCCAACCTCTCTGACAAGGCAGTCAACGCAAGCTTCCACTCTAAGGTAAGAAGTCAATAATTTTAAACCATTTCATGTTTCTCAATAACATTCACATTAACATAAATAAAGTTGTAACCATATCCAGTACAGCAGAGCATACCTACTGAAGCTGCATCATTAGTGAGCCTGTAGATGAAGTGATTATTTGTTGTTGTTCAGGATCCTAAGCAGAGGAGTATCATGGAAATGTTCCAGAGCTCTTTCACTGCGGATGATGATATGGACGAGGCCATCTTACTGGAGGCCGCAAACGACTGGGAGGACTCCCCGCCTGAAGACAGCTGTGGTCAACAAGGCATGTTCGGACAAGACCCCAGCAAAAGGAGCATCAAAGACTATTTCAGCAGATGACTTTTAATGACTTTTAATGGCTGACAGTCAACAAGCCCCATACCAGATTTTGCTGAGCTTATCATGAACTGAACGTATGTGAACATAACTTTTTTTTAATACTTTAATAAACCTATTTTTTTGCGACAGAGAAAATTAATAAATATTTGATTCTTAAGTTTTTCTTTAGAATCTCTGAAAATGTATCCTGGATGGTTACTTATGCAGTGGGATGTTTATCTTTGATTATCTTGAGTGCTGTTGCTGATTTAGGGGGAAAAACAGTTTTAATTTCATAGTTAAATGTGTAAGGCCTAGTCTCAATAATTCCACTAGCAAGCATAAAGCAATAAAGCTAATGCTGGTTTAATAGGTTTTTGTTCTGATGATGCTAATTAAGCTGAGGTAAGTTGTCCACAATTGTAAAGCTAAACTGCTGTTATTAAGCTCAAAGGAAAAGAATGTGTCTAATCACTCATATTCATATTGTCACAGTGTGGTAGTTAGACCTGGAAATGGCAATTCATTTGCAGGCAATCCCATGATTGACTGACTAGAGTGTACCTCTCATTGTTGTCTAGTTATAGAAAAAAAAGCTTTTATTTTATAAACCCTGAAATAATTGTTTTGTCGTGACTACAATCCTGGTCAGGGTCGTGTATTTTACAGCTGCTAAGAGGAGCTAAGGCAGCATGTAGAGTGATTATCATGTCAGCAGAATATATTAAAAAAAATAACTCAACCCCTTCTAAAGGAATATGATGGCAGATTGTAATGTCCCTCCACCTACACATACAGTATACAAAGCATGTAAACAGACAACACATCTTCCTTGTTATTTCATGATTCATAGCTTGACAGATTTGCATTTTTTTACAATATATTACAGATAAACCTTCTATGCAAGAGAAATGACTAAATGTGGGACTTGATTTAGTTTGAGAGCTCTGGATCGTCACCTCCTCCGGTCTGTGGGCTGCCAGGATTTGAACTATGTGTGTCACCTGAAAATCAATGGATGAAACAACAAACCACATATTAATTCCCTATACAGTGATATCTTGAAACAAATTAAATTATAAAGTTTCTCTGTATAAATCAATGCACCAGGCTCCCCTCCTGAATAAAGTTAACTATCCAGCAACTTTCAGTTATTTTAGCTCCAACTGCACGCCACCCCCTCTAAAACTAGAGGTCAGGTTATACATAACTGTAGTGTTAGCAATGTTACTGGGCTGTACTGAGTTTTTAAGATTTCATGTCCATTTCCAGGTCAGTTTGACTTGACTTGAAAATGTAAAGTAACTTCTCTGTATCTACTAAGTCACTTCACATACCCACGTTTGGGAAACAGCAGTTTAAATTAATCAACCACAGGACTCAAAAGGCCTACCATTCCACTTAAACCTATTATTATCTCCACAAAATGGAATGAAAGAGAATGTGTTGCCTATTTGAATGCATATTGCCCTCAACATCCATAACGCAGCAAATCAAGACTTACTGGAGTTTCCTGACAAAGAGAGCAAAAGCAGTTTATATCCCCATGATAGCCGACGTTAGTGTGTTTCGAAGATTAATGGTGTTGTTTTTCAGAATCAGAAGAGAGAACTCCTTCTCGCTCGTGGAAGCTTTCTGAATGCGGTCATTATAAAGAGACATATCTGTTTGCTAGCTTGTCTTATTTCCCAGGACAAAAAGTAGTGATTGCTGTGCAGCAATTCAGGAGATGGATTCTCTGAAAGGTACAGCACATGCACACACAGAAGGCCTGATTGAACCCTGTGTCTCCTCCCCAAATCAAATTCTAACCTTGACAAGACTAAAGGCAGGTTTATTTGCAGTCATAGGACATTAAAAAAATGACATTTTAAATATAACCAGTTTAAATATTAATGGGGGTTTGAGGCAGGTTACCAAATCTATTGATTAAAAAAGTAGACCGGGTTAACTTTGCATTCCAAGATAATTTATCCTGAACTGTCATGTGATTAACAGCATATCCAAAAGTAGAGTTTACAACCTGAACAGCTTTTTATTTAGGTGCAATTAATGGGAAAATGTACCAATGAGAATATTGGCTGCACACTGGTTGTGTTTTCCTTGAAAGTCCTTTAGCGTGGACAGGCCTTTGCTGGACCGTAAATCATTTATCATACAGAAAAGTAGACTTAGTAGAGGTTAATCCTCTGAATTCGATCTTTTGCTGAAAGAAATTGATACATACTTTAAGCATTTGTTATTTCAGCCATAGACATCACACTAAATGATGAATAAAGTTATTCCTGTGACACCAGTTGGTGTGACAGATGAAATCACTGTCTCACACACATCATATGATTACCTAAAAGGGTGGTGTCAGTCTCTCCACCACTGGTGAGCTCTGTGTCTGAGCTGATGTCACCAAAGACAAGTCGTATCTCCTCTTCTGCTTGCGTCTCACTGGAGGATCCATGGACTGAGTTGTGAAGGATGTCAGAGGCAAAGCGGGCCCTCAGAGAGTTTGGGGACGTAGCCTTAGCTTGGTCAGGGTCTGTAGGACCCATCATGACCCTAAAATCTTCCACTGCATTTTCCTTAGCCAGAACCAGCATCAAGCAAGGTCCGCTGAAAAAAATAATGACAATAACACAGAGGGTCACTTTCTGTTAAAAGAGCAACTTTACATTGAATTCTCTCAGTAAACATTCATACTTAACTTTTCAGGTTAACAGATTTGTAGACTTCTTAGTTAAAATGAGTGAACCTGGTTAAAATATATAAAGTTTTTTAGATGTCTAGGTAATTGTAACACTGGTTCCATTGGCATTTAATAAAGTATTTCCGCAGCTTAATATGACCCTGTTTATATTGAAACTATGTTTTTCAAATCTTTTGAAACATTTGAAATGTAATTTTATTTATTTTTTTACAAGTAGTCCAGTACCATGTGACATTGCTGAGTGGTGCAGGGATAGGTGCAACAGTGCATATTATATGCACACTTATTTATGTAAATACTGTAAAACCCTAATTGACCCATCTGTCACATAATTGCATTTTACTTATCATGTTACTTCAGCATCTTTTGCGCTATTCACCACTGCACTGTTTCATATTAGTCTTTTCTTATTATGTTTATTGTTGATATTTAATGTTGTACCTGTACATATGAGAGCACAGTTCACTGAAGTTAAATTCCTTGTCTATGTCAGCATACCTGGCCAATAAATCTGATTCTGACATTACCTACCAGTGTGAGGTACAGTGCTTACTTCACTCTGTTACACTGTGATAGGTGTAACAGTGCATACCTTTCTTACATTGTAAGAAAAAGTGTTACTTTAACTTTACAAACACATGGAGCCTCTTTCACACTGATTGGAGTATAGAAACACTATTAAGACTAAACCTGAGCTGATATTAAAGGAGAGTGACAGTAAAGGTAGTTTCTCAGGCTGCAGCATTTTTTTGTCCGAGCAGTTGTGTAACAACTGAGTGAAGGGACTAATCAGAGCGGAAGATAACTCCAAAATCTATATATGTGTGGTGGGACAAAGAAAGAAATTGAGATGGACTACTCGCCACTTGCCTGAGGCTGCCTTGATTCTAAGCTACTGAGATTACAGTTAAAAGTGCTGTTAAACTTGCAGCAGCACTGAGAATGAGGGCAGGTCTGCTAGGGACATTTTGCCCTTCTCCTCTGGCTGTGTTCGGGGATAGACTAACCTACACATGTATTCAACCAATTGACTGAAGAAGGGCTTCTCTCTGTGCTCTTTGTAAAACTCCTCAGCTGTCTCCCTTGACAGCACCGTCTCCTTCAGCTGCGTAACAGAGAAACCCATGCCATAGATCTCCTCCAGAATCTTCTCTGTTGGAGAGAAAATAATGAATGAAGAAGATATACTTCTGTCTTCAGATCTTTGTAATAAACAGTGGTTAACATTGTTTTTGTTTCTTTAAATGACAAGAAAGAACCTTTGTGTTCCTCCATGGCATCAGGTTTGATCATTGCCAGTGTTTGCTGTTTAGGGAAGAAGAAGTTGATCTCTCTTTCTGCGTCTTCAAGGTTTGCACTGCCATGGAGGGGGTTGATAGGCTCGCTCTCCAAAGCGAACATGGCCCTCAGACTGAGTGATGAGACATATACAGTAGAAGGTCAGAATTACAGGTATGGTTAGACTGTGGGATACCATCTTAACTCCACAGCTAATGTCTGTTTACTTTCAGGAATTCTCAGTAGATGAAGCTGTACAATTGTATTTTTTGACTTTTTGAAGGACAAGTAGGGATTTTTTCAAATTTCTGAGATTGCCTTCCAAGAGATTTAAGCTATTTTGGTGCCTTGCCTCTTAAATTCCTCATTGAACATGTGTGATGTTTGAGCTTTAACAGGAGGAGTTCTGTGATGAATAATGGAAAGACATGTTCGGCTTGTTGGCTTGAAAAATTTAGATGTGATTCAGAATACCTCACTGTCAGAAAATCAATTGTTATTTACTTGATTTCCTGCCTTTAATTGTAAAACGTCAGTGCAGAACTGTAAGCTTTCCTCTCTTTAATCACACATTTGTGTATAATACGTATCTGCAGAGCCTGAAGACGTAAAAAAAAAATGGCCCAAAGAGAAAGAAGTATTTTCAATGAGTAGTCAACAGTGAAAAGTCCTTTCATCTCATTTATTTGTATACACGAAGAACCACACATCACTCACCATTCAGGTCTCTCCTCTCTGGCTTGATTGATGTCAGAAGGGCCGAGGATGTTCCTCCAGTCTTCAATGGCCCCCGTTCTGGCAAGAGCCAAAGCTAGGACGGGCCCACTGTTCAAAAACACATTTTAATGCACCTCTGCAGTCACAAACTACTCTTTAGATTTATTCTACTTTAAGTAGTGTAAGTCACCTGGTCATGCTTTTGAGCAGTGCAGGGAAGTGTTCCTCCTTGACATGTTGGAAGTAAAACTGTCTGACCTGCTCCTCTGTTAACTTCAACTCTCTTTTCAAAACCACAGTGAAGCCTGACTCGTGGATTTTGGCCAGGATCTTTTCTGCACAACAATAGATGAAAGACATACACTCACACACCAGTTTCTTAGGTGTGCAATTCTCATTTCAGTCTGATGCAATAATCGTGGTTTAAAACCTACCTTCATGAAGTTGATAATGTTCAGTTTTTAAAAAAGGGCCTAATTCAATGTAAGATCATTTTGATTTACTGAGTTAGTTGTGATAGTTTAGTTTGAGAGTGCAAAATGAAGCTGCACCTGATTTATTCAACACTTTGCTCAGAGAATTTAAGAAGCAGTCCCACGATATCAATAAAAAAACAACTAAGTGTTTGTATCTGTGCTAGCACACCAGTGTACTTGTGTATTTGGCACGGACCCCACCTCTGTTCTCTCTGGCAACGTCAGGCCGGATAAGAGCCAGTGTCCTCTCCACACGCTCTTCCTCCCCATCCTGCCCCGTCACTGACGCTGTCCTAAAGTTGGGGAAGAGGAAGGCGAGCTCCCTGCCGGCCTGGTCAATGTCCTCACTACCGTGCACTGCGTTGAACAGTGCCTGTGTGCCGTATTGTGCCCGCAAGCTGCAGGAAGCCAGGGGGGGAGAAAGGAGAGGAGAGCAGATGGTTGCTCGGCTGGTGCTTAACCAGAGAGAAGCATAATGTTTGGGTGTGTCTGACAGAGCGGGCGAGAATGTGCTGTTCAATCGCTTTTTTGCAGACTTAAGCCTGACATTTTTTCACACAATCAACAGTGCATGAATAATGTCTCTGCTGTAAACAAATGTTCTGCTTCACAAAGGCACAGAAACAATCATTTTTTAAACAACAAATCTAACTGTATCTTACGTTTTCAATGCCATGTTTGATTTTTATTTCTTAACTACTGTGTGAATTTAGAATATGTTTTCCAATAACGAACCTTTCTGGCTTCTCTCTCCTGGCTTCCTCGTTATCTGCAGGGCCAATGAACTCACGCCATGCTGTTACAACATTGGCTGAGTCCTCAACCTGAGAAAGTACCAGGATATTGGACGGGCCACTGGACATAAACTGCACCAAGTCCTGGAAGTAAACCTACATAACCACCATAACATACACACAGGTACACACAGAGACAAGAGCATAAACATAGGTTAATGTAAGAAATTAATGAATGCAGATAACTGAATTAATACTAAAAGTCAGACAATATGTCTTTTTAAAATCATTATTGCTTCACTTGGCCAAATTTTCGCACGCTTTTGTTTTTCAGAATCTCCAATGATTTAGTCTCATCACAAACAGCGTGATAAGCAAAAACACAAAAGCTGCTTGCAAAGCAGATCTATTTTGAGCCCTGTGCAGAAATGCAGATGGAAGCGTGATGTATTGTAAACTAATTGAAATGATTTTTGCCCTGGTCTTGACTCTCCTCCCATCAGGGTGTTAACACAAAATGTGTAATGGCCTAGACGAACCACCCGGGCATATACCTTATCATTGAGCAGTGTGACTTTAATAACAATGAGATACAGACATGAGTGTGCCTGTATGTGCATAGTTGCTCTTTTTCTTCCCCTTTGTCACCATACCTCTGCTGCTTTGTGCTGGTAAAAGTCTCGAGCTTCAACCTCGGTCAGTGTGCGCTCTTCATGGGCCAGGATCTCAAATCCAGCGTCCTGAATCTAACCAGGGGAGTAGTGTCAGATAGTTAACTAATGTCAGCAGGAAGGCTTTAGACAATCTTGTCTTCTTAGAATGTGAGCAGTTTACCTTCATAATGATCTCATTTGCCTTGCCATGAGCTACAGCATCTGGTTTGATGATTGCAACTGTGTAGGATTTACTGGCAGGAACTACAGGAGAAAAGGGCAGCCCAAAGATTGGTAAGAAAAATGTCCTACAGCATTATGACAACACTGGTATAGAAATATTTGTAATCACAGTTACAACAGTACCAGTATGTATGTTAATGCCAATAAAGAATATTAAGAGCTAATGATAATGTTGCCTTCACATCACCGATTATGCTTTCATCATTTTCTGACTGTTTAAGTGTCTCCTCCTCTTCTTCAGCCTTCTCATCATCCACCAGACCATTATCTTTAACCTGACAGACACAACAAATACAAACACTGTTACACTATATGTTAGCTTTATGTTAGTATAAAACCTGTGTGTGTTTGTGTGTGTCTGTCTGTGTGTGTGTGTGTGTGTGTGTGTGTGTGTGTGTGTGTGTGTGTGTGTGTGTGTGTGTGTGTGTGTGTGTGCGTGGGTGGGTGTGTGCGTGCGTGCGTGCGTGTGTGTGTGTGTGTGTGTGCGTGGGTGTGTTGGGAAAACAGTTCATGATTATTGTCAGACTAATGGATTCATTTTGGCTTGCCGAAAAAGAAAATCTCATGTGCAAATAACAAAATGAATGATGGCAGAATATTATTAAGGCTCCATCAGTTTCATGGTAATGTGCATGCTGATTCACTTTCACATTGTCATGGCTAACTGTGACATTTGATTGGAATGCAGTCACTGTTAATGCAATTATTTAAAACAGTGTTATCTCTAATGTGACCAGACAAAATTTGTGCTGTTGAAAAAGCACTATTGTTTCAGCACCTCAATTAAAATAACTGTTGATGGATAACAACATTGTATACGTGTGTAGGTGAGTGTGTGTATCTTAAAAGCTCACCGCTCTGCGTTCACCACCTTGCTCCAGGACCAACTTCTCCTTGCTCAATTCCTCTACTATCATCCTCTGAAGGAGAGGAGCATTTGCCCCTCGCAGCACCGCCACAAGCTCTCCACCCTGTCCAATAAAGAAAAGAGCCTTTTTCTTTCCCTTAGTAAAATTCATCCTAACAAGCAGCGACAAAGATGTTGACATAAGCAGGCCCATGTGAGCAAGCACATAACAATGCAAAAAAATGAACACAAAGATAACAAAGAAAAAATATATTCTGCTTCCTATTAATAGATTATTAAAAATTAGAATAAATAAGGGGCAGAATTTTGCATTGTTGTCGTGAACATCATGACCCTCGACAGCCCTTTTTCCAACATCATTCGTGCATCATTAGTGCAGACTAAAGTGATATATTAGACAAAATAAAAAAACAGATAAACTAGAAATAATTACAGAATGAAAATAGCAGACAAAGGATCATTAAGCTAAACTGATAGTGAACACACAAATTACTGCACAAACACACACACACACACACACACACACACACACACACACACACACACACACACAGCTGCACTCACCCCATAGAAGAGGAAGGTGGGCTCACATTTCCCTCGATACCTCTCCAGTGCATCAATGCTGTCTGCCTCTGCCTACAGCACACACACACAAACACACATATATTCAGGTTTGAGGCTCCTCTGTCCCACTTTTTGTTTTACTTTGAATTATTTACAGTCAACAATCATTTTATCGCTTACTGTGGCAAAATGTAGAAGATCATCACCCAGCTCGTTCTTTATTTTTCTTAGTAGGCTAACTACAGCTCGACAGGGTCCACACCACTGTTGGTACACATCCACAACTAGGAGGAGATATAGTGTGTGTGTGTGTGTGTGTGTGTGTGTGTGTGTGTGTGTGTGTGTGTGTGTGTGTGTGTGTGTGTGTGAGAGAGAGAGAGAGAGAGAAATATGTTACATTCATAAATCCTGCATGCAGTTATCCTATTAAACACAGGGCGGCAGCAGCATACAATAAATAACAACTCGATGACTGAATTCACACAGACTGTTAAACTGTGCAGCTCAGAAAGATGTTTAGTAATGATAAATATAAATGTAGTCTACTCGTTTAACGGGACACAATAGTCTTTATTATATTTCTGAACTAGGAGTACCTACCTGTTAAACCTTTGGTGGCAAGCATCTCTTCCCACAGCTCCTGGTTTGTGACAGACGCCTGAGCATGGTAAAGAGAGTTAGCTGAACATTTAAACTCAAATCAAAGGGTCATATAAGAAGCTAAAAACAAGACTATTTTCAATATATTAACGTAACAGTAGCCGTGCTGTGATTCCCACCTGCAGACTTGCTTCTTTCTTCTTCGCTGCCATTTGATTGTTGCGTCAAATGAAAATATAGACTATAATTAAGAAGGTTGGCGAGATAATAAGCGCCAGAAAAACAAGTTAAATATGCGACTTGAAATGCTAACATGCCAAGCTATCAAACTTCTGAGGTGATTGTAGCGTGTGTTTGGCCCTTTGGTTGCTAAGCAACGAAGCCTTCCGACTTCCGGAAATATTGGCATACTCGGAGTAGGTTTAAAGCAACTCTTCATTTTCTTTTACACGTTACATTTTATTTTGGACTACTTATCCACTAGAGTACACATCGAGCACGAGATGTGAAGTATTATATACATTTATTTAACTGTAACTTCCTATAATAATAATTTTTAGGTAAGAAGAAATGTTACTTTTGCTATTTTTTCTGCGATCAAACAAAATGTAATCTACAAGTCTTGTTGTTGATGAGTTTGAACTAAAATCACCAAATCTTGTGCTTATTTCTTGGCTATATGAAAAATCTTAGTGAGTAAGTGATAGCCTAGTAAATGTAAAATAGGCTGTATTCATTTAAAAAAAACCTTATTATTTATCAAGAGTTCAAAACTATTAACTCTGTCTGGGTTTGCTTGGATCACTTTGAATGACAGGGCCCAGAGAGAAAACATTTAATGATCTGAGAGCTTCTTTTCACCACTGAGTGCAACCGCAATGCATGAAGTATGTATTCAACCGTAGCCTACTTACTGCTGCATATGGAGGATTAAGATGACCTTTAACCCATAAATGCAACAACATCTTCTATGTAATATAGAGAGGACTGAGGCCTCGTGCTCTGCGACCCACTTTTTGAGTTAGTACACAAATGCCAACCATAGTATGAAAATGTTGAACTGATATTGTAGGATTCTTTCTGTGCATGAATGAGTGTGTGATCATTTTACTGATTGGATAAACTACAAATTTAATTGAGCTACTGAGTTGTTAAAAGCATGAATGGACTGAAAGAAAAATTAATTCAGAGCTACATGATTACTTGATAACTGAATACAAATTTTCAAGAGTTTTGAAATGCTGGTCTGCCAAACAGGACGTCTTAAGATTTCATCTTTTATCTGGAAAAACATCTTTTTCCACTGTTTAATGATATTCTATAGTTTCAAGAATATTAACAGAATAACTTGCTGAAAATAACTCCTTATTACAGTCCTTTTATTGACCACATATATGGCTTATCTAAGTCTAATTTCAAGAGAGTGAGTATCTAAGGGAGATATGCTGTAATGATGTACTTTTGGAGGTATAGTACGCAGCATTTATCCACACTACAATCTTACGATCAGGCTATCTTAGTGCATCAGTTTCAGCTCTTCTTACCTCGTTCTGCAGGCTCTAAATTTTACCAAATAGCAACAATAAATCACTTGGGTTATGAGTTCCCTTGCAGGCACAATATAAAAGTTAAAAGATACAGTTTAGCTTTTGAAATAGTCATTCACAAAGACAGCGCCTTTCCCTCCTCTCCTCCTTGTATTTACACTTTTTGGAGATGTATACATTGGTATTTCATTTTTACTTATTTCTATAACATTTTCTCAACAACATCCCACATACGTAGTCTCTTTCAAGACTTGTAAAATGATTGCATTTTCTTTTACATTTATTTTTCAAGACCAAGAAAACCAAGGCAACAGTGTCAGTTTCAATGTTGGAGACCAAAACAAATAATTACAATCATGTGCCTCTTGACGTACTGAAGTACTGAAAGCAATGTGTGTTATGTTTGCTTTAATTTTCTATAATTTAAAATATGAAAGCTGTGTTTGGTATCTGGTGTTTACATTTAGTTATGTAAGTAATTCATTTTCATCTGACGCCACACCACAGGGCAAGTTAACATGTCTTTCCTTTGGTGCTTTAAAACTAAAACTTTCTGACAGTGACACCTCGACAAGGTTTCCATCCAACTGTAACATTTTATTTAATGGTGAAATAGGTCCTCTGCAGAGATCAGACCACTTTTGCATGCTCTTCCCACATGAATTTCAATGAACTGCTGCACTCGTGGGGTTCAGCTCCACAGCTCCTTCCATCACAGAGTGGGCCTAGAAAAACCGGTTAGATTAGAGTTGTTTAGTAAAAGGACAAATCACAGTGCAATGTGGCAACAAGCATGAAACACAATTATAAAATTAGACATTAAAAATAGAAATAACAGGATCCTTTATACCACCATCAACAGACTCACAATTTGTTTTACTCCCACTGTGCCGTTTGGGCTGTATGACATGTTTCTATTAGTGACCCTGTGGCACGCTCTGAGCACATTATGCAGCCAGATGGGAACTGCAATCACCTCCCCTCCATCATGGCAGCTCTGACACAAGGTCCTGACACTGTGCTGGCCAGCAGAAAAAACATTCATACTGTGCGTAATATGCAGGCCTGTGATTTTAAGCTAATTTTCATCAGTGAGATGCAGAGAAGTGATTGCTTTTGTTCCATCAAGTCGATGAAAAACATTGATTTGAGGCTTTTGTCCTGTTTGCCAAATTTCGAATATTGACCTTTGTGTCATCAAATGTCAACAGTAATGACTGCTGCTGCCTGCTCAGTTGACTATAGGCTGAACAGATATGCTCCCGAATGTTAAAATGAGATTGCTCTGTCCCAGGGGAATGAACCGAGAGAAGATTGTTGGAGGCTGTTTCTATCTCATGTCACTATTTCGTTCAAAACAAGGTGCGATTGATCACTACTATGTCTTGACAAGGAATGGCTGTGCAGGCTTGAAATCAAAATGTTTGTAGTACATAATTTGATGGCTGGTGAGTAATCATGCCTTCAGAGTTCGACTTCATGTTACAAATATTCTCTATAATGATGATGCATCAACAACAATGAGAAACACATTGTTTTTGTTTTCTAAAATATCCTCTGACTCATATTGCCTCCTCCTGTGGTAACAATCTTCTGTGACCCTGACCTGTACACTTGAATTATGTCTCAACACAAAGCCTATTTATGAGTTTTGGCCTAGAAAAACAAAAACAACATACTTTGAAAAGAAGACTTGTAAATTTAACAGTTTTTCACAACTGACCTTGACTGAATTCAGAGAAAAATCAATCTGCAGAATATCAGTCTTCGCCACAGGCCATTTGTTTGCTTTGAGTTGATTTATGTTAGAGGTTTCCATGGTTCTATGTAGGTCTTCTGTTGGTCCCTCAATAGGGCTCCAGTCCCCTTACTGACTGGAAGAAACCACTTATCATCTTCCCTGGTGGATTGCTGTTAATCTCTACTCAGTGATGAAAGAAACAGGGGATTTGAGGCTATGACAGCTCTGAAGATTAATCTCCATTAGCACATCTTAAGCACAGAAGTCATAGTTAAGCCTCATTAAAGAAGAACTCAATTTGTTGTGTTTATTTTTGGAAGAGGCTTCATCCTACCATTGGCCCACAGGGTCTTGGTTTAATTGTTCAAAAGCAAATGTTGTGGAAATCCCAGTCTGTAGCGTCATGCCTTTGAGAAGTTTTAAAAAAGCAAACAAATATCTTCATTTGTTTTCTTGTCATTGTCTTTCTTCTTCGTCACTGTGAGACACATACTTTTACAAACAACAGACTAATGTGATTGCCATAGGGCCATACAATTCACAGGCAACAGCTATTCATAACTTCCAGATTATCTCTTTAATCTTCTTTATATTATGTCAGTCCTACTGGTTCTGTTACTTCAATTTGTTGCTCTTCCCAGGTCTAAGAGCACGACAGATCTGGGGGAATATGCCCCTCTTATAATGCACCATGGAATAATCATCAAAAAGAGTTGAAATAAGACACACTGATATCACTAAACTAATTTAAGAGCATCACAAAGAAAGTGGTGACAGAGGCATGTGGTCCTCTTTCATGAAATGCCATTTGTGTATTTGTATGCAGGGAGTAAAACTAATGTGGCTTAGATATAAGATAAGCAGGGCTCTCTGGACACTTCTTGTTAAATGCTCTCTTTGATGTCTTCGTTGTAGGCTACATGTACCCTTCAGTTTAATACCATAAGAGACCTCTAACCAATTCAACCCCCATTAAAAGTGTATTCCAATAGATTTTTAAAAAAGGCTTCACAGAGTACTGTAAAAAGTGATGCTACTCTATAGATCATTTGTGTATGAGGATCATTGATGCATCACGGTTTAGAACTTTGTTTTCCAAGAGGGCACTGTTGCCTCAACATTGAACCAGCCCTCCGAGTGAGTTGCTCCTCCCAACACTTGCGCACACACACACACACACACACACACACACACACACCGTGAGAGAGGGAGAGACACACACTGCTCCGCAAGCTTTTTAATAGCTGGAAAGCCATGTGCTTCTAGTATGCTGGTTGCATGCTTATCAGCACTTCCAGGCCTAAAACCTATTCCGTAAGCAATACAGCAATTGAATACAGAAATGGCTTAATTTTATGCTGGCACATTTTTATAAAGTCATGGTGTATAATGTCAAGTACTCACAATGAAAGAATTAGAGGCACTTTATTTAATCTTACCATTTGATCGGGCTGTTTTTAGGAATGACAGCTATGTTTTTGAGTGATAAGGTGCTCGCTGTTATTAACCACAGACACTGTTAGCATTGCTCTCAGCCAACTTCCAATTTTCCCTTTGTATCATGACAAGCGTGACCATGTGCAGCTCTGTGCTTTAATGCAAAAACGAACACTCCAACAGGGACATGGTTTGTTCTCTTTCCGCTTCATTGATGGAGAATTTATACAGAGGGAGGGGAAATAGAGTGAGCCAAAGAAGGTTGAGAGGGAGTGTAGACAGGCAGTCTGTCCGTCTCACATGCAGACAGACTGAGATGGTGATTGACTGTAGTCTGTAAAAACAGGAGGGAGCCTTCTTCTCTTTTTCTGAGACAGGCAGCTCTGCCAGTGACAGAGGAAACCAGTGTGGAGGAAGTCATCTGCATCTAAATAAAGACCGCCAATGGCTTTGTCAGAGTCCATTAAGCAAATTGCCATATTTGATA